ATGGAATCAAATTCTACGCCTCCGAATCATAATATTCTCATGAGGAAGAGACTGTCCGCCATTCAGATGCAGCATTCAGCGCACCGATCACATAACAACGTTTAGCTAAAAACTGTAACTCACTTCCTCAGAATGACAAAAAAGCTATAGCCAAGTATAAATAGATTTACGGTGAAATAAGCAACAGGCACACTGTACTGAACCGTATCGCCGAAATAGGTCTCACTACTATAGTAGCCATAAAATAATAACGAGTACTCGAAATAGCCCTGTAAAAAAGATAACGAAGTTTACCATGATTATCAAATCACCATAAGAATTGAGGCGAAGGTGTGATGTTACTGGTATGTACTGGAAACTCATAGATGCTTGCTACTGAATTACCCCGAGAGCACGTTTTCATCTACTGTACTAAAAACGTTTGAAGAATTTATCAAGAATGCTGAAACAGGCAATATGGATGCATACGAACCAATGGTGCAAGCAAAGAAATAAACCCATATTCCATGTGCAAATATGCAAGTCTTCTCCCTCTTATAAAATCTGCCGAGAATGCCAAGGATAGCTAATTAGTAGTAACTAATTAGCTTTTTACAATTATCACTTGCCAACACATAGTATGTGAATCTATCACAAGAAAAATAATTCTCATTTATCGAGCTCTTGGCATATTTAGTATAACTCTAATTTTGTCAATCTTCATAAAATACACATTCGTGAAGTAAGCGACAATGATTTTATTATTTGAACCAGTGGTGCTGTGCAGATTAACTCGTCGTCATCTTGACATTAAGAAAAATTCGATAAAAGAAAGGGTGGTTACTGCTCGTACTTGTTACCGATTAAGTCAGTTCCGACTGCCTCAGCTTTCGAAAAAAGTAATACGGATGAAGTTTTAATTTGATTAGTCGTTACCGATAACTTTTTTCACCAAGGATAGATGAATGACAGATTAAGCAGATTAGCCTCCCGAAAAAAAAAAAACTTTGCATCTAGAGACATGAACCGAAAACGATTCCGAAAAAAAAGGCAAATAGAGACCGTTACACAATCCTATCGTTTTTCGTTAAAAAAATGTTTGAAAAACCTTAAAATCCAGAACAGTATTCAGTTCATCTGCTCGTGGTACATCCTTTTCCTTCATCACTTTGATGTCGTATGTTCGATTTAGTCGTTCTGGATCACCTCGAGAATCGGCTAACCACTGGATAAAATTTGAGATTATATTTATTAAGAACGCACAGTTACAACTTCGTGGCCATCTAAGGCAAACTTGCTTCGTCTACTTTTAACTTAGCCCTGCTCTTACTTTTTAACCATAAACGATTCGATTTACTCTTTAAATCGCATACATAATTAGTGCGAGGTCTTACAATATTAAAGTAATAGGATCAGAGCGGTGAAGCAAAAATATTTCGAATCTTATACCAATCCTGAATTATTTTAAGCTTGAGCTGATACCTACCGCTTCTGTCGCAGAAGTCCCACAAAAAGCCGGCTAGAACTGGTTATCTGCTCCATACGATAGCAGCATCACCGATTCAGATAAAAATGTAACATACAAATCAAACATGCTCTCTCACTTTGCAAAACAAAAGGACCCAACTTAGTGGTCAGTATATCACGTTCGAATTGAAAAGGAGCGGTTCGTTTCCCTGCGGGTTCATAACAATTTTCCGAGAGTTTCATTTGCTACCATATCCTTGCACTACATCTCCAGTGGATCCTTACACACCATCCTCTATTACGAACGTTCGAGTGCTTCTTGCCATCTTTTTGAACATAAGCGGGAAGAGGATCGAATCTCTGGCCATCACGTTCAAATGTGGTACGCTAAACTACCGTACCAACGTCTTTTTTTAGCAAGCGTTGAAGCGCTCTACCGTATATTTGTGTTCAAGACAGGAAGCGCCTCGCTTTTACTGTCTGCCTCCCCTTAAGCAGCGCACACTTTTTACGGTGGCTTCTTCTTTTTCGACTTTCCCTCAGTTCTCTGCGGCAGATTGATCGTTTTTTCATGATTACTGTAATACTCCGTATTATATTTAGTGGATTTTAATCAAGGCCGTAGTCAGGATGACTTCAAATGCCGTAATCGTTTTTTTTTTTCAAGTAAAAACCAATCCTATGGAAAACAGACTTCCAGTCACAGCTGAAAGCGAAAACACGTGCAATTTGCCAAAACTCTGATTGAAACTTTCCTCTTCCGCTGTTCCTTTTCTCGTCCTTGAATTGCTTTCCCCTCTTTGTAAAGAAACTTTTAATTTCATAAAAAATGAAAAAGAAAAACGTAGAAAGAATACCTCTGGAATGGTAACGAATAACATCATAATAACAGTCATCGTAATATTCACACTTAGTACCCAACGCAAAAATGTAAAATAAGATGATACCACGGAACCATAATGACCTGCAGCTTTAGCAAAGAAATTTTTTATAAAAATTGGGTTTTTTACAAATTCTGCTTCATGACACTAAAAATTTCAAGTTGACAGATTTTTAATAAAAAAGCGTTATCAGAACACAGAGCTCTCACTGATATCACAATCCACATTACCCAGGAATCCTCATATCGCAACAGTCATCGCAAAATGTAGCCAGCAGCACTAGTCAGGGTCCCGAAGGCTCCCCTCTCAATAATTGCCCAGAAAACATGTTGGGGAGGAGTTTATTCCTTAGAATGCTAAGCGCTCTCATCATCATTTTTTTTTTGGAAAAGCACACCATTATCGTGATCTGAAAGTGACAACGTTCAAGACGAGTTAGTGTTATTTATCAACCCAAATCAGTTACGTGTCGAAATGGCTAAAGTTTTGTCGAAGGTCATCTATCGGTAAAACTTTTGATCTGGTAACTAAATCATAAGAAAGGAATATCAAAATCATCAGCAAACCGACCACAAAGTGACGTAGTCACTGGTCATAACGAAACTTTGTGAGCTATTTAGTTAAAGGATGAGGTAACGAGTAAACAATCCAAGCTTGATAGTTATTTGCGACATTCGTTCCGCATCTAATAAAAGTTGTAAAACAATATAAAAACTGTCTTTTGGCAAAGGACCTACAGAAAAGCTTTAAACGATAGGCATCCCAGACTACCATGATAGACGCTCATCCAGAAAAAAATTATAGATCCGCTGATGCAGAAAAAAATACGAATTCCAGCTCACTTTCAATCATTTTAATTTTTGCTTCCCAAGGTATCAGATAAATTTTCATATTGCTACACCATCGGCCGAAAGTAGTCCACCGCCTCACCAATTCCACCTTGTAAAGGTGCCATCGCGAAACTTTTGACTGCTGACGCTTTAGATATCGGCGTGCCACTCTGAAGCATCAGTTTGGTACTTTATTCATGTTTGGCTACGACGCATGCTAATAGAATGCTGTACTGTTTTAATAACAAGAAAAGCTTTTGAAAACAAAAAATAATTAAAGTTTCTAGATGCTATTCGTAAAATTCCAAGAAAAATGAGAATTTTCTCGAGGTTGGACAAGAAGGAAAAAAGATGGATTTCCTCCGACAAGAATCAACGACCCTGAAAAAAATATCTTTTTAATTCCGGACGGAACTTTTCTCATTTTCTGAAATGCAGTAGGCACAAGAGGTGAAATGAAAGACGCAAATCTCATCCTTCTGTCTAATACACCGCTCTGCTCCCGTTATGATCCTGTAAAATTTAGTAAACCCCTTCCCCTCCGAATGCCCGAGATCCATTTCTAAAAATTTGTTCCGTGTGGTAACTAAGTGAGGTTTCCCGACTTGACGCAATTTTCACGACATCTCTGACATCCATAATACATAAAACAAAAAAGCTACGCTCCTGCCTCCACATATTCGCCCACCTCCCTTCCCATTGGTACCCTGCTTCAAGTCTGGCCAACCCGCATCCACTATGAACTTTTCCTGTGGCACTGGCCACTAAGCAGATAGCGATGTCTTATTAGGACTCTTAGAAATATAAATGACCATAAAAAATAATGGAGGCATACTTTAAGGCACGTCGTTTTCGTCGCATGCTCCACGGTTGGCTTCGGAGACGCATGATGGCTTCCTTTTTTTGACGTATCGCCTCCAGGACCCGTTCTTTCGACATCTGTTTTGGATCCTCTTCTTCCGCCGCCTCCTCCTCATCGCTGAAAACAAAAGTGTTGGAAAATAGTGCTGACAACAGTTTCATCAAATGAAGAAAAAAGTAAGATTTTTTAATGAGATAAGCTTTAGTTGAGGCACGAAGGCTGGTGTTGGAAAACCAATCATTCTCTGATCCACCAATTTTTTCCCTGTGGTTGATACCAAAACTAATTAAGCTTTTAGTGGGTATCACATTTTGATGATTTTACTAGCTGGTCCCACACTCTGGTGGTAGCTACGCCAGTTTTTTCGATCCTGGGCTGCATGCCTTCAGTTAATACTCACCGTCTGCGCTACCTTTTTAGTAGCTGATAAAAGTTGACAAAAATTCACAGTTACCTTCCGTTGATAAAACATGCTTTGTAAATCTTACTACCTTGTTCTGGCATTTAATTTCAGGAAATGAGGTTT